TGGCAACTTTTCTTTGGACGCCAACAACTTCATTCCCTTCTCACTTATATGTTCGAGCCTCCGATTCTACAATGTTGTACCACGAACATGCTCAGCTGTTGCTATAGTATCTCTCTGTATTGTAGTTGCATACAGTGTTCCCTTCTTGAAGCCTCGTGCTACAACCAAACTTCCTTTGGTTTTATTCCACGGTCCGTTACCGAATGTAGTTGTATTTCCTTCACTGTCAATTTGACCCATAGATATCAGATTTGTTTGAGGCCAGGAACATGTCGGGCATTTTACAATTTTCATAGCGTGCTTTGTGAAATCTTTATATGAATATCACCTTTCCCGACAATTTCTATAGGTTCGCCGTCTGCTAGATAAACCTTCCCTAATTTTTTAGCAATATAATTATGCAATAATTCTTTGGATGATGTAGAGTGAAAGAATGCACCTAAGTCCAAAATCCAAGATTTGACTGGACTGTCTGCACAATAAATTAGTGCATCATCGACTTGTTCAACAATTGCATTTGCTGAATTATCATCCTTGTATTGATCGTTATTCTTCTTCTTTGGCTCTCTATACTGACTACTGTAGTGATCTTTTTTATCGCAATTCCAACACGTAATGTCTTTGTGATTTTTGGATTACCCTCTTATCCTTGACTTTGATCTGCCACGACCATGACTTTGTTCTCTTGGGCTGCTTCTTCCCCTGCTTTCGGTATTCAAAGCAGATCCTGTGGAATCACTTGATTCTCTTCGGCGAATATCTTCGCTTAGAACGAAGTTTCTAATATCCTCCAATTTGAGTTTGGTACTTCCCGATGAACTGCTAATTGCAGTTATTGTTGCAGACCAACTCTGCGGTGGAGATGATAGTAGAATCAATGTCCTAACTTCGTCATCAAATGTTATATCAACAAAACTCAACTGAGTTAATATTAAATTAAAGTCATTGATATGTTCCATGACACATCTACCTTCTGTCATCTTTAAGTTGAACAATCGACGCATCAAATAGACTTTATTTGAACCAAATGGCTTCTCGTACATATTTGATAACGTCTTCATCAGACCTGCAGTGGTCTTCTCGTTAATAATGTTAAACGCCACATTTCGTGTTAGCGTCAAATGAATCACACTAAGAGCTTGGTGATCTAATAGATCCCAATCCGCTTTGGCCTTACCTCGGTCAGAGATAAGTATAATTTTTTTCTAGTACAAATAATCCTCTATTTGCATTTTTCAGAATCCAAAATCTTTGCCATTGAACTTGTCATTCTTAACCTTCCCTTCTTTCGATGTCATTTTTCACAAAAAAAATATTATGTGAATAGTAACAGCGAATACTACTCCGTGTAAGAAAAAATATCTCAACCGTATAAGGTAGACAACGATCACTATTGGTGAACAGTACTATCACTATCAATGAATAGTTCTTCACTATTGTAAATAGTGTTATAAATGATGATCAACAGTGTCGCACTATTCTTATGAATAGTACATGCACCAATACTGTATTTTTCTACCAGAATTACATTGTTTGTGCTCTGATTCTAGTTGTTGGGAAGCGTGTAAGGCTAATAAAAGCGAAACATTATTTAAAAGAGAAAAAATAACGAATTGCACAAGATAAGACAAGACAAGATTTACGTGGTTCGCAAATTTTTGCCTACTCCACGGCAGGGGCGGCTCTAAGGCTTTGGGTAGTAAGGTCATTGCCTTAGGCCCCCAAATTTATTTTAAATTTTTATTATTATTGTTACTATTATATATTATATAATTTATATAAATAATTAGAATAAAAAAAGTGTTACAATATACTTTTTTGTTACTTAATTGAGGTTATTTTATACAATAAATTTATAAATTATGATAATTTTCTTCCCTCATTAATGAGTATATTTGACAAGAGTGGGTTGCTCTAGTGGTAGCACCCTCCCCTTCCAACCAATAGGTTGTGAGTTCGAGTCACCCCAAGAGCAAGGTGGGAAGTTCTTGGAGGGAGGGAGCCGATGGTCTATCGGAAACAGCCTCTCTACCCCAGGGTAGGGGTAAGGTCTGCGTACAAACTACCCTCCCCAGATCCCACTAGTGTGATTATATTGGGATTAAGGGCCTCCGAATATGGTTTCGCCTGAGGCCCCGAGATCTGTTGAGCCGCCTCTGCTCCACGGCCACATAAAAATAGTTTTTTATTAATTAAAGAGAAAAAAGAAGTTGAGGGATGCCTATTTATAGGCAGAACGTCTGCTGAAAGAAAATTTTCAGCGAATGTGAATACGAAGAGGACGGCACTGCAAACTGCGCACCGAATTCTTTGTTCACATTTACAGCGTGCCAACTTTGACTTTTCCTTTTTCACGTTTTCTTTCTTCTCATTCTTGCATTTTATCTTTGTCTTCTTTTACTGCTAATTGCCTTCTTTCTTTTATTTCTTTTACAAATGGGTTGTTCCTTTCAATATGTTGGTGTGGTTATAATTTGCCATGTGACATTGGATTGGCCTCAACATGAAAATTGCATAGTTTTCCGTTGTGGGACTCCATATGAGGACCTCCTCATATTTTAACGACTCCACTTTTCTTGTTTCAACTCGTTATAAGTTTGGTGATTACATTACTCTTAATTTGGTCCTTTAGATGTGTTACGTTACTCTATTGAAGAAGTAAAAGCAAACCAAGAAGAAATCAAAAGATTGGTGGAAAAATCATTAAACCTTGAATCTTGAACCTACCTTTCAAGACATCCTCAAAAAACACGGGGACATTGCAAAGGATTATTCGCTGGAGTCAGGTTACATGCTGACATCTGTTGTAGTAATTATATGTAAGGTTGTCCAAGAACTCCAAAAGAAACATTTGACTAAAGTTGATTGTAATCTCTTGAACTTTTATTATTTGGTAGTCAGGGATGCTCAGAAAATAAAGGTGAATGCAACAGATTAAAAATGATGAGGTTAAATGTTAAATTAATTCCAGATTGGAACAGATTGAAAGTGAGCGAAAAGGAGCTGGAAATAATGAAACCTGATTTGCAGAAGAAAAAAGAGAGCTCGGATGCACAATTCTTATCATATTAGATCAGATGCGCGTGACGACCCATCGTTCACAAATTGTACAAGTAAACTTCACTGCTCTCAATGCACCAGCCGGGAATCAAACCCGGGTCTGTACCGTGGCAGGGTACTATTCTACCACTAGACCACTGGTGCTTCTTGTATAAGATTTATTTAAAACATAAAGTCACCCATTTTCTTTTTCCTTGTTTTACTTCTAAGTATTTAACATTTGAATGATCTGTGTTTTTTAGCAAACATGGCTGAAAAATATTCGGCCATATGAATCCTCATTAACCATGATTCAGAATGGATATTCATATGCTATTGGTACCGTACAGGCTAATGCTTATTTCTACACCAATTAGCAATGTCATTGTAAAGCTGTATATGCATAGCTCTTAAATTTGGCAATAGTTCCTACACAAATTTTCTAACTCAATTTGATCAGTACTGGGCTCCAAGCAGTTCCGCTGAAGGTTATGTTTGACTATGTCAGTTCTGTTTTCACATTTACAGAGATTATATATGTGAGAATTTTGAGTAGGTTTTTTGGTTTTTGTGAACTTCAATTTGTACCTTTTCTGACTTGCGTCATTTCCAGAGCTTATTTTGCCAACAGTTTCCTTGTACATGTTTAACCCCGTATGTGCGAGCTTGTTCACATTTCCAGTCCTAAGCCTGGATAAAACAGGAGGAATATTGTAGGCTGGCAGTCAACGTAAATCTAGCCAATCTATGAACAATCATCCTAATACCAAATAGTATATCATTGGGACTAGCTCAGCTACGTGGCACATCAGCTTTCTACCCCAGCTTGAGTTTGGGATTGACGCGTACTTGTTGTTGTTGTTGTTGTTATTGTTGTTGTTGTTGTTGTTTTCTTTACATGTTTTTAATAGGAAAGCCTAGGTATCCTCCTCACATGAACATAAATTATCACTAGCTGAACCACCCTGATGAGCTAGATGAAGATTGAAGAGTATGACACATTTCCAACCAACCTTATCCCTGAACTGGTGAGAATGATATATGATAGGCTAAGGAATATGGCTGGTCGCTTTCGCAACCCAAGGGGAGCCATTTCAGTAGCCGGTTAGTTGGCGTGACTTTGGTGCCATGGCTGTCTTCATTACATAATTTGAGAAAAAAAATAATGAGTTCAGTTGAACCCGTAGAACCTATAATTCAATGCCCATCAATTTCCTCCGCCGGCAGCTGCCTGCTAGGACGGATAGTATGTTGTGAGTTGGTGGATGACTATGTCTCAGTTTACTTGTTCCTTCTTGTGTATTTAGCTCCGGAATTGGATTTAGTTACTAACAAGATATTGATCAGGACAATTAACAAATCCTCATGGCCAATCTCCATTTTAAGTATAATAAACTCTATTTTTAATACAGTCAGACCTCTTTATAACAATATCGACAGTTATTCACTATAAAAGCCAAGTTTTTTATGGAACCATTTTTCATGCTATATTATAATATATATTCTCTATAACAACACTTCGCTATAACAGCTAAAAAAATTAGGAACAAATGAGGTTGTTATAGAGAGGTTTGACTGTACCTATTTCTTTCATCAATTTTTTTAATAAGCACGTCCAACACTAATTTCATGGAACTTATGTTTAGGTTTGGTAACAGAGTTTTTGTAACCACTAGTAATGGTGGCATTATATATATACCATGGTCTTGACTCTTTATGATTTGGTAGCATGCAAAATAATATAAAGAAGTGAAGTTGACTTTTTCCCTGATTCCTCTATTGTATGCAAGTTCAGTGGAACATATAAACGTGCCCTCAAATATTGGGATTTTTCATCTTAGTACGTGCTAGCATGTTAAGCCCAATTTCTTTGAAAAGGCAAGCAAATAATATCCACCTTAGTACAAAAAAGAAGAGCTGAAAGAGAAAGATCAAGAAAATTTAGATTGTTAGCCAACAAGATGGCCATTTCTGTGTCAAAGAAGAAAGCTAAGAGTTACAAAAGAGTTGAACCTAAAGAACTTAGCTTCTTTTTCTCTTCTTTCTTAGCTAAACTTTTCTTTAGAGTACCAACTATAGTCCTCATCTTGATTCTCATCTTCTTATGGTCTTCTTCTACTACCATTATTTCTGGTAAAGTTGTCCATATCTGTGTCTCATCTCGCAAACTCAACAATCTTTATTGCATTTCTGCTGGCACTGAACCTAATCTTGACACCCCGAGTTCGCTTCTCAATGGCACTTCCCTTTCCATTTTAGTTGATCAGAAGGATACAGCATCAAATATTGTCGATGTTCTACAAAAAGAATCTAGTCCTCTTGACATTCCATCGCCAATGGTCAATGAAAGTTCCACATCCACTAATAATGTTGTCGATGTTCTGCTAAAAGAATCTAGTCGTCTTGACATTCCAACGCCAATGGTCAATGAAAGTTCCACATCCACTAATAATGTTGTCGATGTTCTGCTAAAAGAATCTAGACCTCTTGACACTCCAACACCAATAGTCAATGGAAGTTCCACATCTACTGATAATGTTGTTGATGTTCTGCTACAAAAGTCTAGTTCTCTTGACATCCCAATTTCGCGTGTCAATGAGAGTTCCACATTCACTCCTAGTGAGAAACAAGCAAGTACAAGTGTATCTGTTGATTCTATTGCAGGAAATCAAATTCTTGCTTTCAGAAACAACATGGTTAAAAGTGGTGATGAGGAACTAGAAATGGCTTACAATGATGTAGAGGATCAATTGCAGGTGCATCGTTCGTGGGTTGCAACAAGCAAAAATCATACAACATGTGATGGCAGGGGAATTTATGTGTATGAATTACCAACAAAGTTCAACAAAGACTTGGTAGCTCAATGTGAAGATATGATTCCTTGGGTCAATCTCTGCAAGTACTTCAGCAATGATGCAATGGGTGAATCGATACAGAAACTTGGAAAAGGGTGGTACCAAACACATCAGTATTCATTGGAGCTGATATTTCATTCGCGCGTTATGAATCATCCTTGTAGAGTATACAATGCAGATGAAGCTAAGCTATTTTATGTGCCTTTCTATGGTGGATTGGATATCTTGAGATGGCATTTCAAGAATGTCTCGAACGATGTCAAGGATACGTTGGGACTAGACCTTGTAAGATGGCTAGAGTCACAAAAACATTGGTTTCAAAAATCAGGTAATGATCATGTCTTTGTTTTAGGAAAAATTTCATGGGATTTCAGAAGATCTAGTGAGACAAAATGGGGGAGTAGGTTCTTGGAACTAGATGAAATGCAGAATCCGGTTAAGCTCTTGATTGAACGACAACCTTGGCATGTTAACGACATAGGAATACCTCATCCTACTTATTTCCATCCACAATCGGACGATGATGTAATCACGTGGCAGCTCAGGATCATCAAGTCAAATCGGAAAAGCCTCGTGTCCTTTGCTGGTGCAGCTAGGCCTGGTGCACCAGAGAACATAAGGTCAATGTTGATCAACCAATGCACTTCAGCTAAAGATGAAGAATGCAAATTCTTGAATTGTAACTCAGGTAAATGTGACCAGCCCGAGTCGATAATTGAGCTATTCATGGAATCTGAGTTCTGCTTGCAACCTCCAGGTGATAGTCCAACACGAAAATCAGTTTTCGATTCGTTAATATCAGGTTGTATTCCTGTGATCTTTGATCCCTTTACCGCGTACTATCAATATTCATGGCATTTACCAGAAGATCATAGAAAATACTCAGTTTTCATAGATCAAGAAGATGTGAGAAATATGAAAGTCAATGTTATTGAGAGGCTTCTGCAAATTCCTGCTAGAGAAAGAGAGAACATGAGAAGATACATTATTTATGAGTTGTTACCTGGATTAGTGTACGGAGATCCAAAGTCTAAGCTGGAGAAATTCCAAGATGCATTCTCTATAACTATAAATAATCTGTTTGAAAGATTGAACAAATTGGAATCATGACAGTATAGATATGTTACATGTAGACTGTCAATTTTTGTTATTTCTATTTATTTATTTATTTTTGAGAATTAAATGTTAATTATGTTTTTTTTTTCTAGTTTCCCGAATAAACTAATGTTGTGAGTGAGGGGAGAGCATTTTCTTAAGAAAAGGTTTCCATAATTCAAACACACACATGTTTAACCAAAAAATAATTTTTGTGGTCAAAACAAATAAAAGAATAATTCGGGTTTCTAACAACCAGTTACTTCATTTTTCTTAATATAAAAGAATAATAATGGAAAATAAGATTGAGAAAAGAAGGAAATAGGAATCTTATTGATGATTGATGCTTTCTCTCAATAGGAAAGAACAAGATCTTCTAATGGCAGAGAATAATAAGAATATTGACAATTGATAATATTGCTTTATAGTTGTCATGATGGGGATACAAGATATGGAAGGGGGACTTATATAAGGGCACAGTTCGTAACCGCCTGCCTTATTTAATTCATGTCCGTAAATAATATTTATTACATTAATTACTCGTTACGTGAGTGATTTGTAACAACTTAAGTGATGATAGTCAATCGCGCATAATCAGGGATTCAGCTGATTTTCTTCCATACTCGTAGATGTTAATGAGCTTTCTATCTCTGTGGCTTCCAATATCCTTAATTATTTGTCCCGTACCTATTTAGCTAACATGCACGGTATCTTCGTAGACAATCTCGTGGGTATTACTCATACCTTCTCTGCACATCATTAATCTTCATTGTTTAGACTCTCATACCACTTGTCATCATAATATTGGTCCACGTGGCGAAAAGGACCAAGGAAAAGAAGTTGATCTAGTGTTCAAGTTTTCCTACTTCAAACTCAAACCTCTAGGGGGACTATATATATACAAGAAGCATATCTCGAGAATTTGCAGAAATTTTGAAGAAATTCTCAAATATGGAAGAAGATCTTGTTCTGTTCTTTCTTAGATAAATCGTTTGAATTGTTGTTCGTATTGAAAGGAGTCAAGATTGACCTAAATTCTTTCTATTTATATACCAAAAAATTCAAATAGAATTGTAGGAAATGTGATAAGAACAGAACGAATTTTATTTTATTTGTTTTCCCTCAAAAGCCTCCTTGAGGTGGAGATGGATTTGGCAGTATCTCTACCTGTAGATTAGTAAACCAAAAAGTATACATTTGAGAGGGGGGATTTTGCCTAACCTCTTCATCCTAATTAAGGAATGAACTACATTATTCCTATACAGATGAACTTCCCAGATAATAAAACCTATCAGGAAAGCTATGTTATTATAGACTTAAAGTTAACTAACACAAAAGTTAACTGTGGAGGACACCTCCTTTACAATGATTAAAGTTAGTGATCCCAAAAAGTAGCCTAAATGACTATATATGAATACTAAAGCTTCCCTTTTTTGGTTTAATTCTGAAGGTAAGCATGTTCACTCGGTCCATCTTCACTATGGCTTTAACCTGAGTTGGCATGGATACAGTCGTATTGAAGATAGTTCTGTATTTGTTGAGTACTCCTAAGTTAGTCAAAGTATCAGCGGCCATGTTGATTTCCCTGTAACAGTGATTGATTGCAAACTGCCCATGCTCCATTAATCTTCTGATTTTACTAATGGTTTCTTGAAGTTGCCAATTTGCTTTGATGCTTCCCTTTATCATATTCACCACAAGCATTTAGTCCGACTTAATACTTACAGACAGAAACTGATTTTGAACACACCAAGTAATACAAAAAGAATGGCATTTGCCTCAGCTTCATTGTTCGAGCAAATTCCATAATAATGAGAGAAGGCCATGACCACATCACCCATATGGTCTCTAAGAATTCCCCCTCCACCTGCTTGGCCAGGATTATCTTTAGAGCATCCATCAGTATTTAATTTTAACTCAAATAATTCCGGCTTATCCCATTTGAGCCTTTTAATCTAAATATTCTGCTTCATCTTCTCTATAGTGGCACGTATTTCTGACTATTTCCCATCAAAAGAGATGGAAGGAAAGGTGGAGTTCAAAAATAACAACTTGATATAATTAATCTGGCCAATTACACACCTTGTAGAAATTTGAATGCCCTCAAATCTAGCTTTGCACCTAGATTTCCATATCTCCCAGCATATGACAATAGGTAGGCATCTCCCATCTAGATTTATTTGAATTTCAAGTTTTAATAGAATTTTTTTAAGGACGAGCTACAACAACATGCACTTATTAAAGCAACTAAAAGGATTATTGTAACCGTTCAAATGGGAAAAAATTATTTTGATAAATGAGTTCTAATTTATTGACTATTACTTATAATCTCGTACCATGACGTATCTGAAATAGTAGTAATTAGTGAAATAAAAAGACTTATACAAACCATCAAAGTAATTCCATTTCCTACGGTCCAAAGATAAAAATCTTGTAATATTCTGAACTATTCATGAACATCACAGTAAAGATGATTAAAATATTTATAACTCCTATATAAATAAGTAGCTGCGCAATAACTACAAAATAGAAGTTAGATAAATTATAGAATAACGATGTACAAATAAGAACCAATCCCAAGGAAAAGGAAGAATAAATTGGAGTGGTATTAAAATTTTCCTCGGAAGGCATTGAAGAAAAAGTTCTCTATTAATAAATTTTAAATAGCTACTTCTATATTCGGTTTGGTTCGGTTTTTTCGGTTATTTTTTGATTAAAATCAAAACCAAACCAAATTTGATCGGTTTTCAAAATTCAAACTAAAATCAAGCCAAAACCAAACCGAAAAAGTATTAATTTTTTAATCGGTTTGGTTCAGTTTTCAGTTTGGTTCGATTTTTCAAATTTTTATGAACACCCCTACAAACATGGTACCTAACTTATGGGATAGGAATGAGGGAAGTCTATGTCCTTTTTCCCTTTTTTTTTTAAAAAACGTATTTGTCCATAAAAATTTATAAATTTTTGAAAATATTTTTTCTAACTACAAAACTGTAATATTTTTGTAAGTAAAATATATATCAAAACATAATTTCAAATTTCATACCTTTTTTCAACTTAACTCAAAACTACTTTTTTTCAAAAAAAATAAATATATCCAAACGCCTCCTACAAACTAAGTTGTATGGTACTGATTTGGTGAAGGATGCCTTGAAAAAGGTAAAGTTGATTCAGGAGCAACTTCGTACAGCACGGTGCAGACAGAAGAGTTATGCGGATCGGAAAGTGCGTGATTTATCATTTATGGTGGGCGAGAAAGTTCTCCTGAAGGTCTCGCCGATGAAGGGAATCATGAGGTTCGGGAAGAAGGGCAAGTTGAGCCCAAGGTTTATAGGCCCATTTGAGGTGTTGAGACGAGTTGGGGAGGTTGCTTATGAGTTTGCTTTGCCTCCTAGTCTATCGGAAGTTCATCCGGTTTTTCACGTGTCTATGCTCCGGAGGTATCATACCGACATGTCGTTTGTGTTAGACTTCAGCACGGTTCAGCTAGATGAAAGCCTGGGTTATGAGGAGGAGCCAGTTGCCATTGTTGATAGACAGGTTCGCTAGTTGAGGTCTAAGAAGATTTCTGCAGTAAACGTTAAGTGGAGGGGTCAATCAGTCGAGGAGGCGACTTGGGAGACCGAGGAGGACATGCTGAGCATATATCCACACTTGTTCAGCACTCTAGGTATGATTCTAGACCCATTCGAGGATGAACATTTGTTTAAGAGGTGGAGAAAGTAACGACCCGACCGGTCATTTTGCTTTTTAGGACCTTTTTTCCCTAAATAAGGCTCCCCGTATGTGCTTTAACTGTATTATGACTTGCGGAGATGGTTAGTTCGGGATTTGGAAGGCTTCAGTTTGAAATTGGAACACTTGGTTCCATAAGGTTGGCAAAAAGGCTAAATTTGACTTTGGTCAACGTTTTGAGTAAATGACCTCGGAATCGGGATTTGACGGTTCCAATAGGTTCATATAATGATTTCGGACTTGAGCGTATGTTCGGATCGGGTTTTGGATGTCTCGTGAGCATTTCGGTGCTTAATATTGATAGTTGGCAATTTAAAGATTTTAAAATTCTTTAAATTTGGTTTAGAGTAGAATTTGGTGTTACCGCGGTCCGTTTGGGATTTCGTGCCTAGTAATAGTTCTGTATGGTTATTTAAGACTTGCACGTAAAATTTGGTGTCATTTCGAGTAGTTTAAGTATGTTTCGACGTGTTCGGAGTAAGTTGGAAGAACTTGAAGTTCATAAGTTAATTTAATTTGGTTTGGGGTGTGACACGGCCCGAAATTCCCACCTTCGGGACCGTGATAGCGCCTAACATTTGACTTGCTATGCAAGCCAACGTTAGAATAATCTTAATAATTTTTGAACAAATTAAATTAAACAAAAGTCCATTACTAAAATAAAGTGCGGAAGACTATAACTACCGAATCATCAAAATACATCCCCGAATCTAGTGTCACAAGTGCACGAGCTACTAGAATAATACAAATAAAAGTCTGAATAAAATTCAAGTTATTTGAAAGATAATACACAACTAAGATGAGATAGAAGGGGACTTCAGAACTGCGAATGATGTGCAGTTATATCTCAAGTCCCTCTGGGTAGCTGAATCCAAGCAAGTCTATGGTACGCCGTTGGCCTACTGGGACCAACTCCAAAATCTGCACAAGAAGTGCAGAGTGTAGTATGAGTACAACCGATCCCATGTACTCCGTAAGTATCGAGCCTAACCTCGACGAAGTAGTGACGAGGCTATGACAGGACACATACGCAAACAACCTGTACAAGTATATACAAATACGAAGCAACAATAATACAATAAATAATAATTTATAAATTTGGGAGGGAACATGCGAAGGGGGATGATATAATAATTTCAGCAGGAGAAGTATCAATTAACAGCCAATTAGTTCCTCAACAATAAAATGAGCAACTGCTAATATGAAGATGGCACAGCACTACCCTTCGTGCTTTTACTCTCATTCTTCCCATAATTTGATAAATAAATAATAATAATTGG